CTTCCTTCTTTTTTTTTTCAAGAAAATGACAGATCGTTTCTCTAGATAAGACCCCTATTCCTCGGCTGGGATCGTATAGAGCCCTTTGGAGCTGCATTGAAATTTGGACCTTCAACCCGTTGGGTTCCATTGAAGTCCATATGGAGAAAAATCCTGGAATGTCTTTCTGTCTTCAGTCGCAAAGAAATTAAGGTTTTCGAGGAAAACATTCCAGGACATATATTGGACTTCAATGGTGGCCAACGGGTTGAAGGTCCAAATTGTAGTTTAAGTGCAGCTTCAAAGGGCTCTATAAGATCACAGTCGAGGAATAAGGGTCTTATCAAGCTAAACGATTGGCCATTTTCTAAAAAGAATGAAAATTGTATAAACTTTTTAACCACAAATTGCACTATTGCACTAGCTTCAGGATGCACGTCAGCAAATTCACACATTACGTAATCACATTGGAAAGGAACATCTTAGAAGACATGGGGGTGAGTAAATTATCAGGACATTTTTATTCTGGAAGTGAACTAATCCTTTAACACAAAAAATATTTTCCACCTCTTAAAAAAAAATCTGGATTACACTGAGGAACAATGGAAGTGAATGGAGCCGACCAGTAAAATCTGTTAAAATACTCACTGTTTAAAAAGTATGGCCACAAGATGTAAACAATACGTATTTTAGTGTGAAAACATCACTTGTTAACCTTTTCTGTGTAAAGTTATGTCTAATTTTACAACTTTTTACAACTTTGTTACCATGAAAATATAATTATTTGAACAGCTATAGGTAGAGGAATATCTCTTTACTTCCAACTGAATGTCTATTCTATAGAATATTATTATTACTGAAGATATGCATAAACAATAAAATGGAAAAGCAGATGACCAAATAATTTCATGAAATCAACACAAGGCCATGAAAACTGCCACCAATAATTCTTGACCCCATAGACATATTTGCCCACCTTGAACAGAGCTCCAGTCAGCTTGCAGAGTGATGTGCCGAAGATCCACCCCTTAACTGCCTCTACAGCCCAGAAGGGCAACGTTAGCAGCAGCAGAATGTCTGCTAAACTCAGATGGAGGATGAAGGTGTCGGTAACGTTCAAGCTCGTTCTCTTCTTCCACAGTACCACCAGAACCAGCCCATTTCCCACCAGCCCCACTACCAGCGCCAGAGAGTAAAGGACCGGAATAAAAATGGAATCAAAGTACATGCTCGACTCCTGACCACACACAGTTCCTTCACCATCCGGGATGTAGCTGTAATTGTAGCTGTAATTGTATAAGTCCTCCAAGTCACTAGGATCAAAAAGTGTTATCTTTTTGTCACCATTCATTTTCTGAAGAAAAAAACAAAACAAAACATATAGAATTAGTATATATATCATCCATTCTACTGTCAGCATTTTTTTCTTTATATGAACCATCATTGTCTTGTGAATGCACAGTTTAAAGTTTGAGGGTAAAGTTTCAATTTAGTCTTTTACTCTAATTAATAATCTTACAAATATATACAAGATGTAAGTTTATGCCTGAAGTACTTTTGCTGAAGTAACGTGTTTTGACCAGAAGGGGGCAATGATGAGACATGATTGAAAGAATATCAATCACCAAAAAATTAAAATCCTGTCATCATTTATTCGCCCTCATGTTCGTTCCAAACCTTACTTGCTTCTGCGGAATATAAAAAACATGAAAGACCGCATTCAGATTGATTGATTGATTGATTGTCCATAAAAATGAAAGTCAATAGAATCCAGTGTTTTGGATCCCTTTTACTTTAATTGTACAGATAAAACATTAATCAAAAAATCTTCTTTTTTGTTCCACCGAAGGAATTTTTATTTTTTTTGCAGGTCTGAAATAGCATGTATATGATGACTAAATGTTGTATAATGCTGCATATATTAGGATACATATACCCTGGTTTGCTCCTCTATTCTGAAGCAAAACCCAGGATTTAATAAGTTCAGTTACAGAAGCTTTGGCACGCAAAAAGTTGTTCTCATATTTCACTGAATCACTCAATTGAACAGATAAGAGAAAATGTAAAACCACAGTGGCCACAAAGTACATTCATCACTGATGCCTATCAGTCATAATGCAATTCAGTTTCTCAACACTGATGAGACCAAATTAAATCTCCTGTGACCTTCACGTTTGCTGCTGAGGTAACGGTCTATCACCATCCTGAGTGGCCATTCCTGGTAAAAGTACAATTTCTTTGAAAATGAGCTTGTGGTTAGTTTTGGATAGTGTAGTACCTAGTGTCATGAACCCTACGCTTTATGGGAAACCATGGGTTTTACAATAAAGCTCTGAATGTCAGTGATTGAAACCCGGTATCTGTGGAGGTGTCACCCCCTGGTATTTCCCTTCATAGCATAAATAAAGTCTGTTTGTGCTGGAAATACATTTAACATCTAACTTAACTATAAAGTAATTAATTCGTAATTCATCAAAATTGGAACTGAAGCTCATTCAAAACTCTTTCATATTGCATATTAGTATATATGGGAAGCAAAGTGCACTAAACATTATAGGAATAAATACATCCAATAATAAATCAAATAAGATGGTCACTGACAATCTTCAAATGTAAAATTATTACAAACATAAAACATTCATTTGAGCAATGATACAACGTGAAGTGGGTGTATGGCTATATGATGGATGGAGATCTATAATAAACAGTTGGAAAAAGGAAAAAAGTTTGAAAGGAAGAAAACGTACCTCTCTAAGTGTGGGATCTCACAGTAGTTGAGAGTTGCTGAAATGATTGGCACATAGAGAGTTACTCTATAATAAAAGGTCACAGCATGCAGATGCATAGAAGACAGACAGACAGACAGAGGAGGAGGAGACAGTGACAGGGAGCACCAGGGTTTGAAATAGGAAATAAGATAAAGATCAGTTGTCAGTCATTCACAATTCTTTTTCAAATGTTAATTTTGCTTTCTCAATGAAAGGTTGTGCTCTGGGAAATGCAGATATACGATGCATGTTACAGGCTGACAAACAGTCATTGTTCATTAATTGTTCATCAATCTTATGGATCCTCTTGTCTACAAAACGCTAGACAAATATGGAGATACCAAGAAATTGTAACTTTAGTTCTGTATGCTAACTGATAATATTCCAGTCAAGTGTATTTGCAATGTACAAGTGTTTTTTTTTTTTAGCATTTCACTCAGAAAACCATAAAATCCAGTCAACTTTGTTATTTATAGCCTGTATCTGTTTTTGTATTACAAATATTTAAAATATGTGTTTATTTTCTGTAAGTATGATTCTGAAATTCTCCATTGCTGATTTTGTAAAAGTAATAGTTGCAAAGTATAACTTCTTTTGCTCCGTTTGCTTGTTTCATCCTTATGTCACACATGCTCATACAGCGGGCTGTTTTTTTCACACCTTTACACCACGTCCTGTTCTTCAGTTTTCTCGTTATTCTCACTTGCACACCTCACTGCTCACGAATATTCATGTGTACTTTTTGTTGACTGATTTTGGTTTTCTACCTTACGTGCAGAGATTTTGTTATTGTGTCAGGTTGAACCTGTCACTATTAAAGGCCAAGTGAAAGCTACAAATGAAAAAGTTTGAAGGAGAATAGAGAAGAGAAATCTGGTCGAATTCTTTTAAGCAAAAGAAAAGGGAACTGGGAGACGATGAGCACAGATTTAGAGAGTGGTTATAGCTAAAGATTGACCAGTAGATCAGATGCTCAATTTAGATACAATCTTGGCAAATACGACATTCTTAAACGGGCACTAGCCTAGTATGTCAAATTCTGTTGAAGTTGCACCTGAGGTTAGGAAGTACCACCTCTCTATTTTTGTTTTACTTGCAAACGTCATGACCCTAAAATACCAGCCCACACCAAACCAAAAACGTCTCATTGGACTTAGCAGGGCAACACACTCTTTTAAGGAATTGTTAATTTTGTAACGAATTTTAAACATCACTCTCCATAGTCAAGCTGTTTCATATGGGTTCCAAAAAGAATTCTGTCATCCTTTAATCATCACTAAATCATTTAATTTTTATGTCCGTTTACTATAGGACACAAAAGGAGTTTAATGTCTCTGTATTAAGAAAGCACTATAATTTAACCATTGTGGACCAGGCTTCACAGGAGCTTGGCTCACTCTGGCCCCACATCAAATAACAACTAGGTGCAAAATTGGTGCAACATTCAATTCAGCTGCAGGTTTTGAGGGAGATCATGCTTTTTGGCTGCTTGGTATCAGAAACACCTTTTTATTTAAAAACTAATACACAGTATTTGAATGTGGCTGCAGTCTTCAAAAATGATGAAATAACATAATTTTTAAATAAATAAATTTTTTTAATCATTATGCTAAAATGGTTTGAAAAAAAAAAAACATCAAATCACTACTGATTGATTTCCAGAAACAGGTGCATTTGTTACATAAACATTTTATTTATGCAATTTGTGTATGCTGTCAATTCAAAGTTTTCAGTCACGTGACTGGCATGGAGACATATCGGGTAAAACATGCGTTGAACTGAAGCACAAGCCTGTCTTGATGCATTAAGCCATATTATAAATTTTGTTTATAATGATTTGCTAAGGGTAACTCTTACTGTGCAATTTACCGTGTTGTGTACATATTCTGGGTGTGTATGCTTGCCTGTATAGTACGCATCATCAATAAAGTGTATACTGAATTTGGTCTTGTAATATCACTGTCTTAATACATTAGTACTTACTACTAACTGGTAAAAAATAACAGGCAGGCAGTGGAGGAAAACTTCCTGTAAGAATGTGTAGTCACATGAAAACTATGAATACAGGAAACATATGCAACGTGCCTTCAGATGACTGACACTGCCTTTCTCAGAGCTAAAAATGATTTACATGTGCTATATTTTATTCCTCATGGATAACTTCAGAGAATTATATCAAAACAAACATTATTTGATGACATCAGCTCCTGCTTTATTCAGAAACAGAAGTAACTTAATCTTATTTGTGTGTTTTACTTTTCATTTATTAGGCTATGGTCTAAAGCGAAAGTACAGCACTACCAATATAGTCTATTTTAACAAAGTTTATTTTACTGTTTAACTTTTATCAGACTAGATTTTAAAAGTAAAAAAGATTGTTTGGTAATATTATTTAAGAGAATTGATCTGACTTTATACATTATTCAGTTTCCCATTTTTTGTCTACAAAATAAATTAAACATTTTAACTTGCAATGTTACAAAATCAAAAGAAACATCAAATCAAGATATTTGAGGAAATTGCAAAAATAAGAATAAATGATGTTTGACAGGACATCACTTACCACAGCATATCGCTGAGAGCTGCTGGAATTATTGACCAATTGAAGGTTACTCATAAATAAACCTAAAGGTCATAGCAGGCAGATGTGTAGAAGACAGCTAGAAGGAGGAGACAGGTTTAAAAGAGGAAATATGATAACGATCAGTTGTCAGTCATTCATAATTCTATTTCAAATGTTCATTTATGCTCTGGGAAATGCTATGTCTAGCAAAAACTTGATAGATACTGAGAAATTGTAACTGTAGTCCCGTATGTTAATTTTTAATATTTCTATCTGTATTTGCAATTTACAAGTTTTTAGAACACCACTGGACTAGTCTGGACTAATCTCTCTTTATTTATTTATTTGTTTATGTTTTGTTCTGTGGAACACAAAATAAGATATTTTGAAGAATGAATTTGTTTACCATTGACTTCTAATTTAAACACTTTATAAAACTGAGTCGGGCCGAGTACCAAACAAACTTGCAGCCAATCAGCAGTAAGGGGCGTGTCTACTCATGATGTGGAGGAGAGAGCGCTAGAGAGCGCGGACGGACATTAGCCGAGCCGAGTGACCACAGAAAGATAGAGATGGCAGATAAAAAAACAAAAGAGGAAAACGTCTGCGGAACAAAAGAAGGCTTAAGGCAAGAAGTAGGACCCGTGTAAATATCGGATCAGCTTTCCAGCGCTGGAGAGAACTCAAGGAGCGGAAGGCCTGCGATCGGACGCCGAGGTTGCTTTGTTTCTTCTCGATAGGTGAGTAACACTGCGTCTACACCAGACGCGACAGCTAAAGTCTGTATACACTGGACGCGATAAAGCGACCGTTGAAAATCATTTGAAATTTGTGTCAATACGTCATAAATAGAACGCAGCAGCAGTTTTCATCCAGTGTAGACAGCATCACTGATTATAATGAGTTCTATAGTATTTTGTTGCACCGCGCCGCTCGAGTCCGGTGTAGAATTATAAGTAAGCTTACACTTATTCTAAGTTAGATCCACTATTGTATGCTGTTGCCATATGGCAACATATCACAAAGTACCTTAAAATAATTTTTTTTCCCCACATTTTTTTTTTACAGCACTTCAAGTTAAGCCATTCTTAGAAAAGAAAAATATTTAAATATTTTTTTCTATAGGTCTATCATAATGCGTGCGGTAGAGAGTTAAATGGCAAACAAGTATTCTTAACACAGCATAACAGGATTCACATGGTGTTCACCAGCACTAACAAACCTCTGAGCGATCATTGGCACTTATGCAAACTCTTGCAGTAGCAACATTTGAGTAAATAAACCTGCAGTCAGGGGAAGTCTGACCTAGTTCAGTAGCTTAAGCTTCTCTGAATTTTCTTTTTTTTATTATTTAATTCAAATACTCAGGATAGATGTTGTACTATTACATATACATTAATCTTTGCACTGCATTCAAATAAAAGATAACATTAAAGCATTACAATATAGGTAATGTGCACATTAATTGACAAAAAAATGTTGCTACATGATCTTAGCTTAGTGGTTAAAGATCATGTGCTAGTAAACTGGTTCAAACCTCAAACCTTGGTGAATCATGACCTTTCAGATTATTAGTTTTCCATTGTGCCCTTAAGCCCAGTGTGTGTGTGTGTGTGTGTGTGTGTGTGTGCGTGCGTGTGTGCCTGGTATTCCCTACATTATGGGGACCAAATGTCCCCACAAGGATTGTAATACCAGTCATTTTTTTACCTTCTGGGGACATTTTGTGGTCGCCATGAGGAAAACAGCTTATAAATCATATTAAACAAAGTTTTCTAAAAATGCAGTGTTTTGTATAAGGGATAGGTTTAGGGGTAGGGTTAGGGTACAGTATAAAAACCATTACGTCTATGGAATGTCCCCATTAAACATGGAAACCAGTGTGTGTGTGTGTGTGTGTGTGTGTGTGTGTGTGTACAGTTATTTTAAATAGTAATAATATTTCACAATATTACTGTTTTTATTGTATTTGTAATCAAGTAAATTCAGCCTTGGTGAGCATAAGAGACTTCCTTGAAAAACAATAAAAAAAACTTTTTAATGGTGTGTGTGTGTGTGTGTGTACAGGTTTTTCTATACTGGTGGGGACTTAAACCTGATTACACACCAACTCATGGGGACTTGTGTCACTGTGGGGACCTAAATTGAGGTCCCCATGGGTACAGAAGCTTATAAATCATACAGAATTAGTTTTTTTGAGATTGTAAAAATGCAGAAAGTTTTCTGTGAGAGGTAGGTTTAGGAGTAGGGTTGGTGTAGTGCGACAGAAAATACAGTTTGTAGTATGAAAACCATTACGCCTATGGAGATTCCCCCACAAGGATAGTGAACCAGACTGTGTGTGTGTGTGTGTGTGTGTGTGTGTGTCAGACACTGAAATGTAAAAATCTTTTTACAATTTGTTATATTAAGAATAAGAATAGAAAATAAACTTAACCCTTATATGCA